CTAGCCTGGGCAACAAAGTGAGACTCTGTCTCAAAGAAAACAAAAAAAAAGAAAGAAAGGAAGGAAGGAAGCGGAAGAGAAGGAAGCGAAGGAAGGAAGGACAGGAACGCGGGAGGGAAGGCAAGGAAGTGAAGGAAGGAAGGAGGATAAGGCCAGCGTGAGTGGCTCCAAGCCTGCATCCTCGCATTCTGAGGAGGCTGAGGCAGGAGAAATTTGCTCAAAGGTCAGGAGTTCAAAACCAGCCTGCAGCAAGAGTGAAACCACCATCAAATCTACTAAAAATAAAGGAAAGAAATTAATGGCCAACTAAAAATATATAGAAAAAAATTAGAAGGCGGTGGTGGCGCGATGCCCGGCAGTCCCAGCACCTCAGGGAGGCTGAGGCAGGAGGATCACTTTTGAGCCCAGGAGATTGGGTGGAGGTTGCTATGGTGAGCGAAGGCTAGACGCACGGCACTACCACATCTAGGCTGGGCAATACAGTAAGACTCTGTCTGCAAAAAAAAAAAAGAAAAAGAAAAAATGGAGGTAGACTACAACTACTGTTGCACTATCAAAAGGAGAAGGAATACTTTTATTTGAAAATGCTCTTACCCCAGGGGACACTTGGCAGTGTCTGGAGGTATTTTGCGTTGTCCACACTGGGATGGGGTGCTATTGGCATGTAGTCGTGGATGCCACAGGTGCTGCTAAACATTCTATAATGCACAACCTCCATCGGCAAAGAATGATCTGGCCCCAAACGTCAATAGTGCTGAGGCTGGGAAACCCCAATTATGAGAGTTTTGGCAAATACTGTTTTCCACGTGCTATCTCCTTGGGAGGCAGTAGGATGTAGCATTAAGAAGCTCAGACGCCGGCCGGTGCGTGCCCTCAACCTTGTAATCCTAGCACTCCCTGGGAAGGACCAGGGGTGGATCCGCTCAGGTCAGGAGTTCAAACCCCCAAATGCACCAGCCTGAGCCAAGAGCAAGACCCGCGCTCTCTACTATAAAATAAAAAGAAGTCAATCTGGGCTACTAATATATAGGAGAAAAAATTTACCTGTAGTCCCCCAGCTAGCTCGGTGGGGAGCGTTGAGGCATAGAGCGATGTGCTGAGCCCAGGATTTGAGGTTGCTGTGAGCTGACGCTGATCCATCGGCGCATACTCCACTCCCCTAACACTAGCAACAAGTGAGACTCTGTCTCAAAACAAAAGAAAAGAAAAGTAAAATAGGCCCAGCAGGGTGGCTCAGCCCCGTAATCCTGGCACTTCCTGAGACCCAGGCAGGGGATAGCGATTTGAGGAGCCAGGAGTTTGAGCAGGAGTCTTGAGACGCCAGCCTGGCAACAATAACAAAGACCCCCGTCCTCACGCAATAATTGAAAATCTAGCAGGAACATGGTGGTGGTCGCCCTATATTCCGTAGCTAACTCCAGAGGTCTGCAGGCAGAGGAGATCACTTGAGCTTCAAGGAGTTTCGTAGGGCTCGAGGAACTCTACACATTATCTGCTGCAGTATAACACTGTAACCAAAGCAATAGTACGCACATGTGGAGACAACAGAAGCTAACCCTGTCTCAATTATCAGAGGAAACAAACAAAAACAATAAAATAGAGAAGCTAAAGTGAAGACGGAGTAAGTATTAGGCGCGAATGAGAATATAAAGAGGATGGGGGGATATATAGGAGGAGGCGGCGAGAAGGAAAAAGCAAAACCCCCCCCCCCTACGATTGAGTTTGTAGGTGAATGGACATGAGGAAGCACCCAGTTATAAATTTATCCCCTTTGCGTCTTAATAAAGAGGCGAAGAGAGGTGATGAAATAGAAAAGAGAACAGCAGGACCCCTCGCTCTGGGAGTAGGAAATAGATAAATGAAGTCGACGCGCCTCAGGGGGTCTTAGGCCGTCAGAACGCTTCAAGTCCAAGAAAGGAACGGAAGAACGGGGAAGATTGGTGCGGGCGGCGACCACCTGTACGCAGCAGACCAGGCGTCGCGCGATCTAGAGAGGAGAGACTATCGAGCGAGCATCACCTTCGACAGAAGGCGAGAGCCGGTGGTCGGAAACGGCGAGAGCAGCGCTAGTGCAGGGAGAGCTCGACGATATGCTTAGGAGGGGTAGGCCCAATGAGAGACCCCAGTCCGTGAAGGGGAGGGCCCTGCCCTCGTGGGACGACTCAGAGGCGCCTGTCCAAATGTTATGACGCGCTCCATGCCCCAAGACCCTTGCCTCCTCCGAATTCTCCTCTGGGAGCAGAAG